TCATTTGATATACCTTCATCAATTGTTTCACCTACATTGACAGGTATAGAATCTAATTGTGGTGTTGTACGTAAATTTAAACCAAGATTTGGCATAGCAGATGTCAATTTTGGTGGTATTGTTGGATATTCTTGATGACGATGATGATCTAATAATATGTCATTATTTGTTGATGAAACACTTGATGCTCTACGTATTGGTTTAGTTTTATTATTATTATTATTATTATTATTGTTATTATTAGTATTATTAGTAGTATTTAATATATCATTTTTATAATTTTCATATGGTGACATGATATTTTGTGGCATTGTATTATAAAAACCTGAACTATAAAGATCAAAATTATTTGGTGTAGCTATTGGTACAATAGATTCTAATGAATTTAAATCAAGATTTTGATCAAAATTTGATATACCATCAATACCAAACATATCCGGTGGTGGATAAAAAAGTGGTGTTTGTTGTTGATGAGTATAGAAATTATTGACTTTTGGCATATTAATTTGTGTCATTGGTTTTGGTGATTCAGATATATAATTACCAGCAAGACCAAATACTCCACCACTAGCTGCTTTATTAACTTCATTAAGTATACGTTGAATTGTTGGATCTTCAAGTAATGCCATGATAAAAGTCGACTGATCGAATAATGGTTATGATGAGAAAATGACGCGTATAATGATTTTTACAACGTACTTTTTTTCTTGATGATATTTCTCACGCACAAAAGTGAACTGATGTGTATATATTTGTATGCAATGTTCAACGTTCAAATGACTAATCATTGGACCGTGATAAATGCGTGTTCGATGAAAAGGTGAGAAACTTCTTCCTTACGTCGTCCATTAATGGGCAATGGTCCACGCCTATCGCCAATTCACAACATATTTTTTTTAATCATAAATGAGAACAGTAAGCGTATCTTTTTTTTCTTTTTTATTTCATTCGAGTCAATCTAATGATAAGTAACATTAACCTAGGCTTTCTCGCATTCATCTATAAACGGTCTTGTCAGGTCCGATTTATCATATTCAGTTTGCATTCGAAGAATACATCGTATACACAAATATGATATGTATATGAAAAGACAACTGAATATATTTGTTGTATTTTAGTTTTCACATACACAAAAAAAAAATGTAATGTAAACGAAATACATGATCTATTAAAAATAAGAAGATCATTTATATATGACTTGTTCATTTTGATATGTTCACAATGTTATATAAAAATAGAAAAACAAAAAAGAACGAAGATTGAACAAATAAATGATGTAAAAGATAATCTATATTTATCAAAGTTGAATATTGACTTTTATCACAAAATTAGATAATTAAAAACGAATTTCAATTCAATATTTTATCTTAAAAAATCAAACATAAACAAAAAAATTCTATTGGTATGATTTCATGATTCATGTCATTTTTATGTCAAATATTGAATTTAATATTTTATAAAATGATTTTTAATGACTTATTGAAATTTGAATATCAATGATTATAATTGAATACTATTGTAATATTTTTTTTTCGAAACAATTGCAACTGAAGAAATGTAGAATGAATTAGAGAATCAATGATTAAAACAAGTCATTCTCTACAAAAGTCAATCATATGAAAAATATATTCATAATTTCAACGAAGAAAAATTTTTGTCTTTTCATTGCGAAGAGAAAAAAAAATGACATTAATCTTGTCCATATATAAATAAAGTACACAGAAAGCGAAAAGGATTTTTTTGACATTTAAAAGTAGTGATTGATTAATTGTACTTCGCATTATTAAACAATTAGATCAAAATGACGGTGATTGATCGATAAAATCTAAAGTAGGACAATGTACATTTCAATTTGATTTTTTTTTTTCAAATTTAAATCGAAGTCAAGAGATTGGATATATCATTATTCATTTATATATTCAAAAGATAATATTGAATAACAAAATAAAATTGAAAGAAGTCATTTAATATTCAATCTAACATTCATATATTCAAACTCAATAAATGAGTTATTATCACTATAATCTGTATTATTTTTTTTAATCAAGATAAAAAGATAATAACATAGTTTATAATATTCTTGAGCCGGATTATTATTTGTTTTGTTCATTTTAATAAGAAATATATTTATTTCAGATTGTACGGACATTTTTAATCTTTTTATACTGATGCTAATAAAGAATATTTTTCTTCGTCAAGCTATTTGAACTAATCAAACGCCGAATAGATGATGATGGGATAAAAGTGAATTAATTGAAACATTCCAAACTACTGATGTAATTTTAGCTTCGAAATTGTGTTATATATTTATATTTGTTTTACTTTTTATTATTAATCTATTCTAGAGTTTTGTGGAACAAACTTTATTTTTCGAGTCCGAAATTCCATTTCTTTTTTTACAAAAATGTCTCGCAGGTCTTTAGTCTATTCATAAAAAAAAAACAGATTCAATGCAATATAGATAATTTCAGAATGTTAATTTTCATATTACATTTGATGATTTATGGAAACAATAGCGAAATAATCCAGATTTATTTTTACATGATAATTATTATACTCATTTATCACAATATGTGGATTAAAGTTTAATTTAAGATTGATAGTCAATGAAAAATAATATTATCTATTATCGGATTTATTTATATTTTATTTCGTGAAAGTCAAACACAAGAAAATATAAATATAATGTTAGACAAACTTGAAAATTTATAACAAGAAGAAGGTAGCAATTTTCTAAGTTGTTAGGAGAAAACAAGCTTTCAATTGATATAAAGTGTATAACTTTTTATACGATCTCATTTTCAAGAAATGCTCCTAGCCGTCATCTAACACGTTTTATATATTGAAATTTATAGTTAGACAGTGGCGAATCTAGGATTTTTAAAAACGTTATATCTTACATTCAGAGCATGGGATCCACATGAAACTTATGTAGGATGATATTGGACCCAAATGGAAGGTTTTCACGAAAAAAATTTCGTTTTTAAAATCGCCGCCCCCTCAAATTTTTTTTGTTTTTAGCGATAATCTATTGTTAAGAATTTCATCGTAATCTACATCGAATTTCATCGACAGATTTCAAATTTCATGTAAAAATATGCATCCGTTCAGAACTTATAACGTTTTGAATCTTTGTTCCGTTTTTTGGGACATATTTCGAAAATTGAAAACGTTATAACTCCTGAACGGATGCATATTTTTACATGAAATTTGAAATCTGTCGATGAAATTCGATGTAGATTACGATGAAATTCTTAACAATAGATTATCGCTAAACACAAAAATATTTGAGGGGAGGGGGCGATTTTAAAAACGAAATTTTTTTCGCAAACTTCGATCGAAAAATTTTTTTCGTAAAAACCTTTCATTTGGGTCCAGTATCATCCTACATAAGTTTCATGTGGATCCCATGCTCTGAACGTGAGATATAACGTTTTTAAAAATCCTAGATCCGCCACTGTAGTTAGAATTTAATAATTCTTTCTTTTGATCGCTATAGTCCTTCTATTCAAGATTTACTGATTTCAAGCGATTATATTTGAATTGAAAAAATCTTATTTCTAAAATAATCGAGTTAAAAAATCTTGTTATCATATATTATTTTCTCAATTCGTTTGAACATTTCAAATAAGAGTGAGATTTAAAACATATGATCGTAGTACGATGAATTCGATAGTCTGAAACCGCAGAAGGATACAAAAATGTACTTTTTTATTATTATTTTAATTAACCATTGTCATGAACTACTATGAAAACTATTTCAATACAGAAAAAACAAAAATCTTGAATTTGATCACAAGCTGAACCCTCGACTATGATTAATGATAATTGGTGAAGCAAAAGTTCTGCATTAATTTTATTTTTTATATAGTGTTCTAATGCAATATCTTTGAAACTTCATTGTTTGTTTGTTAGAAAGAGCAACATGTCTAGTATATAAATCTTATAAACGAATTCGATCAGAAATGCTTCTCGAAAATTACAAAAAAAAAAATCTTAGAAGAAAAAGTATTGGAAGACTTTTTCAAATTTAGGAAAAAAAGAATTTCATTCAATAGAAAAATGCTATCTTTTTACCAGCCTGTTGTGAGTCTTTTAGATATAACAAGAGAGTATTATTACTCTCGCGAAAAAAAACGAATTATTCTATATATTTTATAACATTCTCTAGTATATCAATGACTTTTTATTAGTAATGATTGCAGCGGTTTTACAAGCTGCTATGACTTTCATAAATTTCATTCCTTTTAGTCACTTTACTTCTTTTAGGCGTCGATGTTGGTAGGAATAGAGATCTCGCCCTCATCTGCACCCTTTTCGATCTATACTTGTTGTTGTTCAAATTGTAGAAGAGTAGAAAATTAAAACGAAATAAATTTAATTTCTTATAGACCTGTGAATATATGGGCTTTGATTGTATTATGTTAATAACGTCCGTCGCGATCTGTGACACGGATGAAGGCGTCTGTCGCCCTGAAACGACATTATTTGGAATAGGATGCTAAGATATTCAGTAAAAAAAAAAGTTTATTTTCATGTTATCAAAATTGAATAGAATTTTTAATTAAACTATTGATAATTTAGTCTCTTCCTAAGCTAGATCAATTATTTTAATGTCACACAAAAATCTTCGTTGCAATGAATAGCTATGTCTTTATAATGCTGGAATAAAAAAATATCAAACAAAATATATTTCAAAAAAAAAAAAAAAACTTTCGCAAGAAGTTCTCGATACCTTTTGTTCTAAGACTTTTACTTATATTTATTTTTTTGCATTAGACATTTTGCTCTTTCTAACAAAAAAAGGGATGAAGTTTCTACGATATTGGATTACAACGTTATATCAAAAAAACATAAAATTTCTGTAGAACTTATGTTTCATCCGTTCTACAAATTCGAAAAACATATTTTTTTTTTGTGTTAATTTAAAATGTTAAATTAAATTAGTTTTCGATTAAAAAAAAAAATTTCACATAATATTTTTAAAAAAAAAAAGTTGTTCAACTTGATACAGGTTCATCTAGATTATCAAACATATTTAATGTTTTTATAATTAATAATTTAATATTTTTTGTTGCATCACCAGCATCAGGTAAATAAACTCTATCAAATTCCATAGGAACTTCTGTTTTCATTTTCGATTTTTCTTCTTGTTCATTTTGTTTTGGTCCATAACGAAATGTTATTATTTCAGGAAAATGTTTTTTACTTGTTATTTTTGTTATTGTGTCTATTGGACGACGACATATAAGATTTGCCATTGTTTTATGTTCAGGTAATTTTCGTAAAATATATAAATGTGTTGATGAAACCAATAGAAGACTAAAATTAATTAAATATATTTATATAGAACAGTTTTATACAACTGAATTTGATTATGGAAATAATGGAAAAAAAGTAACATACAACATGATCATAATTCTTAAATTTAATCTATATGATACTAATAGCCACTGAAAACCAAAAACAGTTAAAGAATTTTAATAGATACTCGAGCTTTGAAAGTTTTCGAAGATGTTCTTTCCATGCCAAAAAAATAGGAGAAACAAAAAGTAAAGTTTAATCTACAAGCGAGCGTCAATTAATATCGTATCTCGCAGTGTGTCAAAGGTTGGTCTAATGGTCTAACTAAGCATATGGTTGGCTAGTGCAAGAATTCTACGTTAGGATTTCATACCGAAAGATAGAGGTATTCTTCTTTCCTCGTGACCGAAGAACTAATCAATATTTGAATGTTTAAATTAAAATTCAAGAAAAAAATCGTTTTACGGCTATCATGATTAGCATCGATTAGAAGTCGAATAATTTGATTAAAATAGTGCTAATTGAATCGCTTTTTTAATCAGATCGAAACGGATTACAATCATATCTTTTTCCCATAAGTTGTCTAGTTTCTTATCAATCAGTTCTCAATCATCATTTTCAGAGATGTTACTCAAAAAATAACTATCCGAACTGATACTCGTCGTTTGAGATCACAAGGGGGTCTCGATAAGACTAGAAAAGTCCTAAAATGATTCGTGCCCGTGGGCCTAAGGAGTCTAGTTATAACCGTTTTACCGAGTTTTCGATCCAACTTTAGGTATTTACCGGAAAATCAAATAAAAAAATTGCGATCTGAAATTTTGCCCATAGATAGGTCTCATGACTCTGGGATAATCCTGAAAGTTTCAGCCAAAAAGAACGTTCTTTTGTCAAGATATTGAATTTTTAAAAAATGGTCATTTGCCACAAAAATCAAGTTTACTCGAAAATTCAATATCTCAACAAAGGAACATTATTTTCGACTGAAATTTTCAGGATTCCCTACTAATTCTGTTTATAGACGAAATTTCATATTGAAATAGTCAAAACTGGATCAAAAATTCAGTAAAACAGCCATAATTTAGGTTCATATACTCACAGATAGGAACCTTCCTAGACTTTTTCTAGTCTTACCAAGATCTCCTCATGAATTCAATATGAGCTTAAACGGGGGATTTAAAACAATTTTCAAAAGCAGGGAAGGTGTCACCGCTTATCAATACATCGGTTTACACTTCCAATTGAAAGTACATTAATAAAGTTCATATTTGTTATTTCGAATGTCTATTTAAATGAAAATCTTCATTAAATGTATATGTTTGATTACTAATCTTTAGCGTTCAAAGAATTTGATTCATAAATTATTTCTCAATTCGATTTGTTTTCTGTTTTAGATCAATAAATTTATATTTTTATGATTAAATCATAGAAATATTTTACCTTGGATGTGTTCGATTATGTTCATCAAAATGTTCACATTCATATTTATATAACATATCATTACGTAGAAACCATGATTCAATATCAACTAATTCAGGTGCATCATGTTGTTTTGATGATGATGCGTGTTCTAAGAAATGATACTATACAATAATAAAGTTTATGAAATATACAATTACCATCATCATCATCATCACCATCGAGTGAAAAAACTGATGTTTGATTTTTTTTGTCGATAAAGTTTATCAATTTTATCTTCTTTACTAACATGTCTATTTATTAAAAGAAAATTAATTAATTAAAAAAATCATAGTTAAATAACTAACTTGGTTATTAGATGAGTTGATTCAGTTAATGATGTGTTTGTTATATAATCTTTAACTTTATCTCTTACTTCTAATGATTTAGTTTTAACAGCACTTGATATCATATTAATAAATGCAGTCGTCTAATAAAGCAAAGATAAAAAAAAACAAATTCTTTATTTCTTTTCTTTTTTTTTTTCAAATTTATCGTTTGAATTTTACTTGTGTATTAATAACAGGTAATTTTTCTACTATATTATGTTTAATTGTTGATCCAATAGATGTTTCATCATGTTTTGTTGTATTTGGTTTTGCTTTAGTTATCATTGATGGATCTTCGATTGCTTTAGCAAGAACTATTTAAATGAAATATAATGAAAGAAAAAACAATATATATATATATATATCATTATAGAACGTACCTCTATAACCTCCGGATGCAATACTAACATATTTAATATTTCGTCGAAGAAAATAAGCAACAACCATACGAACATATTTATCTTCTTCATCACGACCAGAACCCATAAAACATAAATGTTCACCTCCCGCTGTTGATCCTAAATAGACGTACGAAAAAAAATGAATGTGTGCATTTCTGAATGATTAAAAAATTGGATTGGTTTCAGTGTTTTGTCCAGATTTTCTTTTCCGGAAGGGTCGGAGAGACTTCGACAAATAAGATAATGTGGGGAGGAAAAAAAATATAAAGATGAAAATTTCATTTTCTATTAAGCCAAATAAAAGACTTCAATATTGAATATATAATTACATTTATTTTTGGTTTTAAAATATTTACGAGGAAAGTTTTCCAATTATTCAAGTGCTTTTGAGTTGAGACTATGTGCATCATGTAGACCTCAAATAGGCTATGAATACTCTGCAAAAAGTTCTAGACCCTTAGCTTATTGCTACAGATGACATTTCACGCTTACAGTATTTTTTAAATAAATGCCCTGGTACAGAAAAACTGATTTTCGAATTTCGACTTGAAATTTTGCTGAGATAGGTCTTAACGAGAGTAGTTTCATGTCTTTTGATTTGCTTCTATTCTGAAAGAAGAACACCAAATCTGTTGGTTGATATGACTGATATAAATGACACGCTACTACCATAGTTGTATCTTACGATAGAAACAGTGACCAGACCTAAAACATTTACAAAAACAACATTTGTCGTTAAGGTTTATCTTTATGCAAAGTTTCAAGTCGGAATTCGAATATCAATTTTTCTGTGCCACAGCATTCATTTAAAAAAATACCGTAAAAGTGCAGGATCTTCATAGTACTAAGCCAAGGGCACCAGTGCTTTTCAGGGTATTTATACTTCATTTGTATCTACCTAATGCAAACAGTCTCAACTCAAAAGCGATTGAACAGTTTAGAAGACTTTTCTTGTTAGACATTGACAAGTTGTGTTTGATACGAAAAAAATTATTATGTACTGTCAAATGTAAAGATCGAATGAAAAAATTTGACTTCCGACTCATAAAAATTTCTATATTCAATGCTGTAAAACAATTAAACAAACGTTCCCGTACTATCAAAAATATGTTTCTTTATATACTATACAGACCGATCGAACGTTCGTTCATTAACGAAATAATCTGTAGTATTAATCTCAAATTTAATTGAACTGAATCTTCATGAACGAAAGAATTTCAAGTCTAACAAGGAAATCTCACCAAATAATAAAGATGGTCTTTCTTCCTAACTTATGACCATTTTAGTGAATTTTTCAGTAAGATATCGTGGCTCGCTTACGACCACTTTCAACATCGATTTTCGAGTTTAAATTTTGCACAAGTAGGATTTATGTTATATGACAATGTAAATTTCCTTGTTATATTTATATCTTAGGATTAAAGATGTACGAGATCAAGCGTTTTTGATCTTAGTCTAGTGAACAAAGGTTTCTGGTGCTGATTTCTTTTAGGATACCGAAAGTAACTTAACGTATAAAAATTAGCTCTAGAAAAGTTCATAGGATATTATTTTCTATGAGAAAAAAAATCTTTTGTCGAAATAGTTCAATTTTAAAGTTAGTTCTTATATACCAGCTTCAATTGCATGTTTTTGTGCAGCAAGAAGAGCATCAACAGTTCCACCAAATTCTTTTGGATCTTCGAGTAACTATAAACGAAAAAAAAAGCTTTTTCTTTTTTGTTCAATAATACAATAATAAATTTTTTGTTTTACAAGATTTGAATCAAGATGGAATGCTGTATAAAGATGTTTAGAATTGTATTGTTCAGCTGGTCGACAATCGACAATAAAATATCTGACACCTGCTGTCTAGAAATAATCATTTAGTTTCATAAAAAAAATAAAAATAATACAAATATCTACTCCGCCCAATTGATTTGCTTGAAGTAATTCTTTAGCTGAAACAGGTAAACATAATGTTTGATAAATTGAAGATGCTTTTTGAGAAATCGAACTATCGGTTTCATCAAATAAACATGAATAAAATTCCTTACAAAAAAAAATAAATTTATATTTAAAAACATTGTTTTAATATTTTACTTTTCGGAATGATTGAGGTGTATTAGAAGCATAATGATTAGCTAATGAACAAAAATCTTCAAGATCAGCAATAGTTAAATTTGATGGTGCTTTAGATAGAAAAGCTAATTAAATAAATATACAAAAATTTATTATAAAAGATTAATAAATGAATGCATATATATATATTTACTAATAATTTCATCTTTTTCTTTACCAGCCATTTCGAACATTTTTTCTCTAAAAATTTTTTTTTTATAAAAAAAAAATCTCTTATCGAAATAAAATTATTTCTTACTTAGCAAACATAAGTAATACAAGAGCAAGAAAAAAAATAAAAAATTGATCAGCATGTTGAAAATATCCATCCCAAAGATGAAGTATAACATCTAATGAACATGATCCTGCATACAAACTTCGAACCTATACAACAAAAAGAAAATAATTTTATAAAAAAAAATTAAAAGAACTTGTTACGATACGGCCGTTTGTTTTCAATTAAAAGTGTATCAAAAGGTTGTTAGGAGTATTTCCTATGATTTAATTTTACTCTATCTCGACATGATCTTTTTGAACTCGATGATCTACCGAAGTGGAGGCCAAATTTTTCGAATCCAGTCCTGATTGGATCCGCATCTGAGTCTAGATCAAGTCGACGAGCTACGTTCTCAGAATTTCCAAAAAACTTTTTTTTCGAATTGCTCTGAAAGTATATACGCTAGGCGTTGTTTTTAAGAAATGTTTTAATTCATTTTCTAGAGTATTCCGGGGGAGAAAATTTCTTTGCATTATCCTTTACAAATGAAATCAATTCTCAAAAACTCATACATGATTAGAATTTCGCAAAAATATTGTTAGACTTTTTATTAAACTTTATACTACTTGAAGGTAGTCTGATATCAAGGAGCCATATACACAGTCTGATGCAATCTCTCATGCCTTATGCGGATATGAATTCAAATCAACAAAAAAAAAAAGGTTTACGTCAGATTTGCAGAGATTTTGCTGAAAAATCGACTACAGAATCTTCGAAACTTAGACATTTTGATAACGCCATCATGCTCAGCATGTTCTCAAACTTATTCCTACTGTTTTTCATACTTTTTACTCGACTCTATCATTCCATATACTAGGTCCTTCAACCGAGGGAACAATCAACTAACAATGTGAATGACTATTACTGACGTTGAGTTAAGACTATGACAAATTGCAGGAATAGGTATTAGCATATACTGAACACGATGACATTGTCAAAAATCCTAGACTCTCTAAGATCCTGGAATTGATTCTCTAAAGAGTCTCTGGAAACCTGATGTACACCTTTTGAATTCCTATTTGCATAAAGTATGAGAGACTGCATTAGACGGTGTATATGACTTCTTGATATCAGACTATCTTCGAGTAGTATAAAGTCCGATAAAAAGTCAAACAACTGATATTTAAAAATATTTTTGCGAGCTTATTTCATATTTTAGAAGATAAATGTATATTTCTTCTATGAAAAAAAGATTTGTGAGACGAAAAACTACTGTAATCAATCTATTAGTAGTATGCGTTTTTCTCTATTAAAATCATATTGTTTTTTATTTTCGGATTTTAAATGTGATACTTATGATTAGCACAAAAAACCACGTCTAATAGATATAATTTTGAAGCAATTTGAAAATTCTGTCAAGATAGAGCAAAACTAAGTCACAGAAAATTCTTCTAACAATTCTCTGATATACTTCCGATCGAAAATAGAAACGGCTTTATCGTAACATATTCTTGATGATTTATACCCAAATATATGCATATGAATCTGGTGTAATTTTTTTAGTATCAAAAAAACTGCATAATTCTGGATCATGATAAAGTAATAATAATCGAAATAAATGATAAGGTGTTCCATTAGCTTCACAACAACTTCAAAAAAAAAACAAAAGACTCAATTCGAAATAAATCTTATAATAAACAAAAAAAATTACATACCGAGAAATATAACGATTACGAATATTAGCAAATAATTCATAGAGTTCAGCTCGATCTTTATATTCTAGTGTAATCAATGGTTTTAATATATCAATCCATCCATTTCCTTTTGCATAATTTTCATTACTAAATAAATACATTAATTATACCAAAAAAAAGAACAAATTTTTATACTATTTTTTGCAATAGAATGTTATAACTGCTTCAATATCACTCATTTTTGATGCTTCAACATCTTGATTTATTTTTAATGAACCTAGAATATTGAAAAATATTCAATTAAAATGAATTATTTTATTTATTTTACACCTACGCACTAAACGTACAACATCTTCACGTATTAGACTTTGTTCAGGTAAATCAAATACATCACTATCAATATAATCATATTCATTAACATCATTGATATCAAGACAAGTCTATAAAAAAATTTCTTATACGCATCAAAAATATAAGATCAACATATTTTCAATTACCAAGCATTTAATTCAAATTAGAATAGTCATTTGCAGGAAGTCGCAGGTCAACGTTTTTTATGGACTCAGATCTAGTTTATTAAACTTTTGGGATTTGAATCCGAAGTTTCATCAATTCGGCTACGAATTTTAAAAAATCCTATCGACTACATTGATGGATACAGCTTACGAAAGTCTACCCTACTTTGGCTAGTTGGCGAAATTCAGATCATCCTCGAATCGTGGTTTGATACTCTCAATGAAATCTTCTAATCGGAATAGGATAACCGTTCTGACGAATGTCTCAAGGAAAATGGACCTCTCAGTATTTCAATGATATCTCCCTTAATATTCGCATGTTCAGACTTAATTTTTTTTTATTAAAAAGATTCGTCTTGAGATGCTCTACAAAATGATGTATTTTTTATTTATGTAAATAACATCCATGATTTTTTAATACACGCTTTAAATGAACAGTCCACGATGAACGATTTTACAAAACAATATTTTGTCGAATTTTTTTGACTGTACATTTCAATTCTTCAATAAGCGTGTCTTCTGATGTCACGCTATTCCAATTGATAGATTTTGCAAATTCGTTCCAAATAGAATAATCCAATGGATTTAAATCTGGACTATTCGGTGACCAACGATTTTTATCTATGAACGATGGAAAGTTGTCCATGCACCATTTTTGTGTCAGATGATGGACGTAAGCTTTCGCACTGTCTTGTTGAAATGTCCAATGTTCTCCAAATGTCTTTTTAGTGCTATTAGAAGAATATTCTGGATATATTCAGCATGGTCTACTGCGCCTTGGTTGAAAATGACCATGGGTATCGCTTCTTTGGAGCAAACATCCAATCAGACCATGACCTTTTTAGGATTGTATATGCCATTGGTATCGAACAATTTTTCATCTGAAAATACAATTCTCATCGTGTCTTCTTTTTGAAAATTATGGAAGATCCAGTTTATGGATTTTTTTCATTTAGCTTTATGTTTGTCGGTGAGTTTTACTTCGATTATCTTCTTGTAGACATAGAGTTCCAGATTCTCCTTCAATATTCGATGAGCAATTGATTTGGTTTAGCCAAACTTCGAGTGGATACGATCTTCTTTTGATCGAGTTTGTCTTTGACTTTTTGAATCATTTTACTGATCCGAGCAAGATGTTGGCCGCCAGAAAGTGTTAATAGCTGAATAGAATCAGTGTCACGGATCATCTTGCATCACTTTTTTTTTATAGTATTTAATCTCAAGTATCCATTTAAATGACGAAAGATCTTATTTGGATCATCACCGTTTTCGTACTTGTAAAAAAACTACTTTTCGAAAATCTTTACTTTTCATCTTATAAAAAAGACAAAATAAGTTTGAATGAAATGCGAAATACAGAGGATAATAAGATACATCTTAAAACAAAAAAAATTAGTCCGAACACATAAGAACTGATGGAGATGTCAATAAAATACGGAGAGACCTATTTTTCCCGTTTTTTTGTATTCGGTGATTATCACACTCTTCACATTTCTCAGACGGCTAGAATCCGTGGGGAAGGGGGTCGAAAATTTTTGGAACTGGGCAACAAAAGATTTTAGTTATCAGTACATTCATGTAATTAAAATTCGATATAAAAATCTTTGAAAAGTGTTGTTTGTTTTTTTTTTTCGTCTTACTTTCCAAACTGCTAAACGTAAATCATCTGTCAATGGTCGACATTTTCCAATAGATCTTATTGATCCTAAATCACATCCACGTTCAAGTGCTAAACGTAATTCATTAATCCATTGATTGTCATGATTTTTTACATTATCTTCTTCATCTATATGAAATACATCATTATCATTTACATTTAATTCTGATTCATCTTCAAGATTAAATGATTGTTTATTTTCGTCAGACATAATCTGAAAGAACAAAACAAAACAAAAAAAAAAAATAATCCCTTCAAACTGTTGTTTTCACAATTATTTTTTTATTTTTGTTTTGTAAACATCATCACATAAACTGTACAAAGACATAAAACATATGAGATAATATTGTTTTTATATCAAGAATCATCAGCTAAATCAAATTGACGAAATTTATCAACATTGTAGAATTTTGCTTTAACAACACGTCCAGCAAAATATCGTCCATTCATATCGACAACAGCTAGAATTTATAAAATAATTAATTTCAATATATATATATATATATATATATCTTTGCTCAGATAATTATTTTTTGGCTCTATGATATGGAATCATGAAAATTTTTTTTCTATCATACCTATCATTTAAATCATCATAGCAAAGACTTTCCTCAATGAAGATTCGAACTCGTTACCAAAGAATTTCAATCGCAAGAAACCATTCAACTAAATATTAGACAACATACCTTTAATAGCTGATTCAACTCGTTTAAATTCAATAAATATTCGTACAGCTTCATCTTCAGGTGCATCAGGAATCTTATAAAAATTAAAATTTAATTAATCAAAAAAAAAATATATAGAATTTCATGTATATACTTCATAAATAAGACATTTTTCAACTTCACCATATTTTTGACATTCTTCTTTTGTTTCACCTGAAAAATAAAAAATAAAACAAAAATTTGAATATTTTCAAAAATAAATTTTTTTACTATCAAGTAAATCATCAACTTCACCAGGGCCAACCATATTCTTAAAAAGAAAATCGAATAATAAAGTATATGTTTTTGTATCTTGAAACTATTTAAATACTTTAAGTAAAATAACTTTTGTTGCTCCTCTTAATTCATCAGCTATATTTATACCGGAATCACCTTTTGGAATAACAACAGAAGGAGGTGCCATAGTTGGTAGAAGAGAAGGTGGTGGCGGTGGTGGTGGTGGAAGTAAAATTATATCTAAAAAAAAAAAGTATTTTTTTTTTAATAATCTATTTTTTAATCTAATTAATAATTTACCTTTAATTGGTAATTCTTTTTCATGTACAATTTTTCCACCACGTTTACTTGTTTTTTCAACAATTAATGCTGAACTCATACCTTGTTGAGATTTACCAAGACCTTGACCTTCTCGATAACCCATTTTAGCCATCATTTTAGCAACAGCAGCTGCACTAAAAATAAATTATATATCATTATTTCTTAAGTTAATACTTCAGATCAAGAGAAGAGATGTCATCAGAAGAGATTGTACGTGACTATTATATTTTCTTGTATAAAAATTCTTTGATGTAGAGTGATATAGAAGTATCTCGCCATCTAGTCTTACAAGATTTTTGCTTTTCTATAGCGCAGTTCTAACGTTTTATTATTTTTTGTCGCACGTCGATTCCTAAGAACACTCATCCTCCCCCCTTTAATCTTGACGACTTCTGGACATCCCTGGATTGATGTTAATTTTTATAGCAATCTCTTGCAATGATTTGTGTTTAGTCGAAATTAACTGAAAAGTATGTTCGTTTGTGTTTGATGATTAACAAATAGTAAGCGAATAACTCGATTGAAATTTTAATAAGATTTTATGAATTTAGATTGTACCGAGACTTAATTTAAGAAATTTTTATTAAATAGTACTCATACTACCAACGACAAAACGACTGCAAATCGTATTTTTTGGTGTAACTTTTGATAGAAACAAGATAGAGAGCTGCGGTTTTCACTGTTGGAAAGAGGAGATGAAGACGCATCGAAATGTATATTATAAGTTTCTTTAAATATGTTTTCTGAGGCTTTTTAAATCGATCATCTAAAAAAGGTAGCGGAAAAATAGTTTTTATGAAAAAGAAAAAAGAAAAAAAATGCTTTTTTTTACAAGAATTGCTAGAAAAATCGGCTTATAGTTTCGAGTAGAATACCTATAACTCCTAAATGATTGAAGCTAAGAATCTGAGCCTTGCACAGTTTTATAGATGTTCAATTATCACTTTCAATACATATCAGATAATTGAAAATTCACTATAATCACCTATTAAGAACGTTGTTTTTCAAAAAGCTCAATTGAAAACCTTAGAAAAACCAGGTCAAAAGGTCTATAACATATGACTCGATGCGTCTTCATCTCCTCTTTCCAATAGTGAAAATCGCAGCTCTCTATCTTGTTTCTATCAAAAGTTACACCAAAAAATACGATTTGCAGTCGTTTTGTCGTTGGTAGATACATATAATTGTAATTGTTCAAACAAGGAAAAACTTTGAATTTTTCTGTTATGTGATACTTTTTTAGCTAGACTCCGTATCATTTCCCTGACTAATGTTAAAAGTAAAAATACTAAAAAGAGACATGAATGTGAGTGTGGACGAATAGAAGATTGCATCCGTACCAGAGATTTGCAGGGTTAAAAATTTTAATTTCGAGAAATTTTCTTTCCCTAAATTTGCAACACCTGACATGTTCAGAGATATTATGTAATTCAAAATTCGTGAACTATCACGAATCATATCTGATTTGAGGGTATTTTATGAGCGAATAAATAGATATGTTAGATAGAAAAATTAAAATTGATTAAATTTTTGAATATTTTTGTATAGGTAAGATACTTGGAATGATTTCCAAGAAAAAATACAACTGAAATTTAGAGATAATTTCCATCAAGTGATGTTACATATGAAAAAAAAGGTTTTAGAAGTTTCTATAATTTATATCCGGAGACGGAATCTCATGCATGTCTCTAATCAATACTCAAACTCAAAACTGTATAACAGTCGTTGATTTATCTTTGTTATTTTACTATGCTATGGTCTTTTTTGTTTTGTTTGTAGAAGATCGATTCTAAAAGTTTTATTAATCTTAAATAATAAATTAATAAAATACCCTTTAGTAGATCCAAAACTAAGATTTGGTCCTGTACTTTCTGTTTCCATATCTTCAATACGTTCATCTGAATTAGATGAAGGTATTGATGGATATTCATCTTTTGTATCTAAAACATCAAGAAAAAGAATTTTTGTCTTTTTTTTTTTAATTAAATATACCTGATTCATTTTGATTATTATTACTAGCACGTCTATCTTCTTCAATTAATGATGAAGGTGGTGCAAAAACATTTCCTTTTCGTATTGATCGATCATTTGATTCACGATTATAATCATCATTTTCATCATTTTCATGATCATCATCATATAAATTTCGTTGTTCATCTTCATTACGTCGTTGACGTTCAATATCACGATCACGTTGATATTGTTCACGTTTACGTTGTTCTTTTATTTTTTCATAATCATTTGGTTTTAATGGATCATATTCATCTGTATAACCAAATACAGATATATTTGATGTTATATTTTGAATTAATGCTGTTACTGAAGATGATGGTCCACTAGAATCTTGTTGTGGTGAATTACTATCACGTAATTCCATCTTAAATAATATTAAAAAAATTCTTTTTTTTTGTTTTTGTTTAAATTAAAAATATTTAACCTTTCCAGTAATACTATTAAATGTAACTTCAGCATTTGGATGACGTGGTAATGCTGGTGCTCGTTTTTTACGTAGATCAGCTACAGGTCCAACAACATTTTTAGTAAGATCTTTCTAAAAAACAAAAAAAAAATTTCAATGATCAATATTTAATGTAAATAATAATCTTCAAAATAAAATATTTTACTTTAAGTTGTTGTTGTTGATGAAATTTTTTCGCATGAATTGGTCCTTGAAGTAATTTAATTGAGTCGGACCAAGCTCCAACTGATTATAAAAAAATAAACAAATAGATATAATATTTTTCTTTTGCGATTATTTTTTAAACTAACCTTTTGTAGTACCATCTTTATTCGGTTCAAGTACTTCATCATCATAGAGTGACATTTTCTTTTTCCTTTTTAGATAATCAATTCGAAAAAGATACAATAAGACAATGTTTGAAATTTGAAAGGTAAATATGGAACACTCAAATAAAGTATTGTCAGAGGTTTATATAAACATCCAATGATAAATTTTCACGAAAAAAAATTTTCATTGGATCATCATTGTCGACTTATAACATACGATGAATCATTAGATATTCTTACTTTACATAATAAGAAAATCAATCAATCGATCAATCAATCAATATTATTCGAAAGGTTATGACAAAGCTATCTTCTCGTCTGAAGTAGATATTTATTGAACCATCATATTATGACATTGTATAGATTTGATTATTACTTCTTTTTTGTTTATTTGATTCATTATAACATATCTATATATATATATATAGTTTACAATAGGTTGAAGTCATTAATTCTTTTTCTTTTATTTAAAGAAGTAAGTGTGTCTATGGTGTCCGATTACATTTGCAGAAGATAGACAATATATTGTATATTTGTTTCTAAAAATGTCAGCTACGCTTGAAAGGCAATTGGCAATAGCATCAGCTGGTAACAACAAATTTCTATTCTATTTGTTCGTTTTCCTCTTTCCATTCTGTTTATCTCCAACGTCATTTCTATCGAAAATGAGCCGAAACACAAAAAAAAAGTAAAACAATAATAACAACAACAACAGCGTTTCTATCTATAGAAATATGCGCATATATATATATTTATATATATATATGAGATTATTCTTTACAGCAAAGTTTCTAGAATATTTTTCTTTTAACATATTAAGTGAGCTCTTACTCATTCTTCTTCTTGTTATTATTATTTTCTTTTTTTGGTTTCTCATTCAATAGAAAATTACATACTATTTCGACATATTTATTATTATTATTATGATATTTGAAAAATACATAAATATATAAACGAATATATTTCTTTGAATTATTCGTTCTATCGATATTTATTCAATGGTTTTTTTTTTTTTTTATAAGAGACTCATAGACCGATAAAAAATAACAGAAAAGAAAAGAATTATAGTCTGTTTTTTTTTTCTACTCATTTTTATATTTTTTGATTGTCCTTTTATACATTGACATTTCATAGCATTTCACCTGTAATTCTTTTCTTATCG